ACGCCCCTCGTACATAGGACTTTAACATTGTGTACGCATGCCTTGACTGACCCCCCTCCCCCCACCCAGTGCGTACGTACTTATTGAATGAGCCCTAAGGGAAACTGAATAATTATTAATTATTTGCTTACAAAGAAAACATATTTTGAGTCATATTTTGACTGTAAATGAAATACAAAATTGAATATTAATTTCTACATTAATAATGAATAATCTTTTAAATAACTTTAACATTGAAATCAATTATTAATTGGTAATAAATTGCAAAAATACTTAATAATAGAAAAAACTAATTAAATAATTATATTTTAAAGACAATAATAATTAGTATTTTTGAGGATTTATTATAGATATCATACCGATTATGACATGAAAAACGGATAAAACGTTAATTAATTAAAAATATTTTCCGCGAAAACATAGGGAACAGGAGTATACCGACCCCTCTATTGTCAGTAATGGACTATTGACTGAAATTTTTGAATTAAATTCAATTTGTAATACAATTTAGTATTAATTTAATAATTAGAGGTATTCACAGTAACATGAATTAATCATGTGCGTTTTATTTAGGAGGGTAAATATTAAATATTATAAGTTATGCAAATTAGTTTGTTAACAAAATATGGTTGAAAACACATTTAGCATATAAGATTATGTTGTATTATATAAAAAGTGTACAAGAATATATATCTGGGCCAAATGTTGTCCAAATAATTTATTTGTATTATTTATTAAAATTATAAAATTAGAATTAAATTAAGATTTTACAAATTGACAAAACTTAGGCATGAAATTTTTCAAAACATTTAATCCCAATAGATATAAGTCTGTACCGAACGCGCCTCCATTCGGGAGTTTATATGACCGACGCTTTTATCAACAATTGTAAACTCTTGCGGTTTGTCTCCCAGATTATAGACGACTAAAACCGTCGCGTTATCATTGGGTCTGACAAACGCCACGTAACTAAAATTGTTGACCGATTTGTCCGCTTTGGCGCCGACTCTCACGGAATCTTTGACCAAGAATTTGGAAAAGTGGCCCAAAATATAAAAAGTCGAGTCTTTGTAGTACTCGTTGGCCGTGTGGTTGACGTGAATCGGTGCCAACGCCGACATATTGGCCCAATTGGGCTCACCATACATGTCGAGCACCAGATTCCACTCAACCCAACCTCGAGTCCAATGTTGCAAATTCTAAGTGTAATTAATGGCAATCACTTAAGGAATCATAAATTTTCGATAAAAATGTAAATTATAATGTTTTATATTGTGTTACACTTATTGATTCTGTTCATGTTCGCTGACTTACAAATGATAAATGTTTTTGTCATAGTGCTAAATAAATTGCTTACATTCATAATATCTCTAGCGTAGACCTGGGCGTGTTCCCATCTACCTAGCTCCATCACAGTACGGGTGGGTCTTTTACTGAACTCTTGGCAGCATTCAGTCGACAATACAAACTGATCGGGGTATCGCTCGTGTAGAAGCTCCAAATCATCCCAAACCTTTCCGTTTCCATAGCAATGGTAAGCAATTCCTATTGTAAACAGTGTCCAAAAAATAATCATGATACTATTCACACAATATTAATTAGCAGCACTCAAACCATTTATATATTTAGCAGTTTTTGAGTCATTAAAGCTCGTCTCGATCCAGTTAATCATTTTGCCAACTTCCCCTGGTCCATGATCGTATATCATTAAGTTTAATTTATCAGGTCCATAACCCGCTGCTTCGAGTGCTGGACCAAGGTCCATTTTGACAAAATCTCGTTCTAGCGTGTCGTTAAACGCCAAACAGTTCCAATTGCAATGCATGTTAGTCACATGACTCGGCTCATTTTGGACGGTCAGCCCCCAGAATTGGATTCCATTTGATTTGTATGCGTCCAGAAATCTATACAGAAGATACAATTATAATTTATATACAAGCAAATACCGTATTCCAGAGCAACCACCATTATATGTGAGGTTAATTATTTTTCAAAAATGGTTTTATGATAACTTTCCGGAATGCGGTATAAAGTGAGGCATATATTTATGAATAATCATGTTCAATGACTCATGGAAAAGGTCAAACCTTACCAATACTAGTACTAATTTTACTTATATACATTGATTTTCTAGCATAAACCTATTTTTACAACAGAAATAAGCAGTAAAATGTTAGAATTAATAAAAAATTTAGTTTCAATTTATCTTAAATGTCTTTATATAACAAAATATTAATATTTTTTTAAAATATTAAAAACATATTTTAGATTTCACTTATTACAACATGCCGTTCCGTTATACCCAAGATATAACGGCAGTCTGATCAACCTCACTTTACACCTGTATTCCGGTATTTGTGCGGGAAAACGGTAATTATTGACCAAACAATATAATAAATCGCATGGTAACACTTACTTTACAAAATAATTGGCCCAGGCTTTAAAATATTGTTGTCCCGGTTGACCAATTAGAGGACCTCCATTCAACGGGCCATATGGTCCCTCATGTTTCATCCAAGTGGGTGATGACCAGGGACTGCCGAACAGGGTCAATTTATTAGCAGTCATATTGTGCGCTAATTTTATATACGGCATCTGCAAATATATTCAACAATGAATTATCAAGAACATAATTTTGAAAAAATACTTTTAAATTGTAATCTTCTTGTTGTATCTTAAACGTGCTGAGCTTGAAGTCACCCTGGTGATCATCATCGTAAGTGTAGAAACGTGGGGAAAAATCGGCGCCACCAATAGGCACACGACCCATATTATACTCGATGCCATTTGTAGAGTAATAGTCCCGGATTATATTTGTGGCCATTTGTTTGGGCAGACTATTAAGGC